TTGAATATGTACTATGTATCAAAGATGGTTCTGAGTACTAGGGATACAGCTGGGAGCAAATCAGAAGAAATTCCCTGTCCTCTTGGGTGAAGCTTATATTCCAGTGTGGAGAGTTGTAATCACCCAGGAAGGGGGATAGGAAGTGAGTGTGGATGGGGCTTTCAATTTTGGAAGTTTCAAGTAGCAGAATGTCTTGTTGAATCCAAGAGTCAGTTCAATAACTACTGTAAACTTTAGAGATCTAGAGGTTGACGGGCCTCAGCAGATTGGCTCAGACACCCAGGCACCATGCTACTCTGTCTCAGGTTAAACCCAAAGGGTCCTGTCACAGGCCTCTTGTGCAAAAAGTACTCCCCTGAGTGAGCCACACTGAACTCGTACTATAGAAGAAAATCACTTGCTGAAGAACCGGAACCTTCAAGTCAATTAAACCTGTGCATTGAGGGCACGATGTCACTGACCATGTTACTTTCATCTCTATCTTCTCGGTGGTGCCAGAGGTGTTTTCCCTCAAGCTGTCCCAAATAAGTTTAGAATCTAAAGGCAATGTCCTTGCTGTACACACATGGCTTCAAGACAAGCCCCCTGATGTTGTGTCTTCCAATCAGATCACTATCCCTAAGCCCCTCTATGTGAAAATCCTGTGGTCAACCTGGACAAAGTCTCTAGCCTCCAGGAGCTTGAGTCCAGTGGCAGAAATAGACATGCACACAAACCTCTGTATTATTTGCTATGGTTGAGAATTTGTTAAGTGCTATTAGCACACATATAGGAGGGAGTAAAGAATTTTGCATTTGTGGTTAGGCAAAAAAAAAAAATAATGGAATTTGAGGAATGGAAACGCTTTCTGGCCAAAGAGGACAGCAAGAGGAAAGAGTTATAGTGAGAAAATATCAGAGGTGACAACCAAGGTCCAAGCAGGTAAACAGGTGCCAGGCCAGCCAGGGAGCATGTGCCCTGTTGCTAAAGTTAGGCCTGCTGGCTGTTGGCACACTGGACTGCAGGTCCAATGTTACCAGAACTGCTGGTTTCTCCAGAGAAGCTGGAATTAGGGAGTGTTATGCAAAATCTCCTAATTTTCTTTTCATTTTTGGCATCAAAATCTAAATAAACTTAAACATGACATGGACCAAACAAAATTGCTGAAAGGTGGCCAGCTAGTTAGGAGAATAAGAGTGCCAAGTGACCTGGAGAAACTAGCTGGAGATGAAGCTGGGAAGAGTGGGGAATGTGAAACAAAGAAATAAGACTGTAGGCAAAGGAGTTGTGACTTCCTTTTGTGGCATTTGCGGGGAGGGGTGGTCACTTAAGAAACATAAGCTGGAAGTGAAAAGATCAGATTTGCACATTGGAAAGATCTATATCTGGAAAGGTGGGCTTGAAGACAGTTATTGATTGTATAAGGGAAAGGCCATAAGGACCTGTGGAGGTGAGGAGGGTAGAGAAGAGATCTGAGAGATGTTTTATAATGCAAGTGACTGTATGGCTAGACAATGGGGTGGAGAAACTAGGAACACTAGATACAAGGAAAAGAGGTGTCAAGGGTAACTACATCTAGCATTAACCTCTCAGAGATTTTTAGTGGGCATGAGGAGAATGGGTGGGTAGGGGTGAAGTACAGAAGATAACAAAGAGGACATAAACTCAGTATTTCTCAACTTTGGCACTATTGTCATTTTGAGTTGGAAAAGTCTTTGTTGTGGGAGGTGGGCCTGTGCCTAGTAGGATGTTTAGCAGCATCCCTGGCCTATACATAGTAGATGCCAGTAGCACACCCACAACCCCACATCATTACCTCCAAAAATATTTCCAGATATTGCCCAATGCCCCCTGGGGAGGCAAAATTTCCCCCCCCCCCCAAGTTGGGAACCATTGCTTTGGTGTCAGAGGAGGGAAATTCCCTATTTGCTACTTCACTTTTTGCTTTGCAGAGGTGGTGGGGATTTGTTAGGTTTTTGTTTAATAAAAGGCAGAAGACCCTTTGTGAGATTTTTGCCTAAGGAACCAGAATTCTTAGCTATGAACTCAGGAGTGTATCTCTAACTGGCTGAAAGAAGGCCTGACTTTGGAAATAGGGATGTTATTTTTTCCTCTGAGATATTTTCCTGTTTGTGCCCGATTCTAATTCCACTCAGAGAAAAGGAGAAAGCTAGAGGGGCTGAGGTAACTAGGTCGGTCCAGAACTCCAGCCATCTCAGGCTAAAGTGCAAATAAAGGCAAAATGGCAGTCTCACGCCAAGTCATCAGGGCTCAATGAATTAAGGGTTAAAGCAGCTGAACTTGATGTTGACTCATCAGGACTTTGATTACACAAGGCAAAATGAAAGCTCTTGTTTATTGCAGTTCCTGGAAAGCCTTCCATTTATCTTCATCTTCCTGCAGACCAGGACAGCGGCTTAATTCCATCCAAGATGCTCATTTAGTAAAAGGACATAAAGATTACTAATAAAAGTTTGATGCTGAAGAACCGCATTCCTAACCCTTACCACCTCCTTAAAGTTTTTTGTAAATGTTGTTTGATAGGATCCAGAGGATGTGGAACTGACAGTAAGTCTTACTCACAGTCAGCAGGCCAGAACTACTGTTGTCACACTACCACCCTTTGTCCTTTTGCTCACAATGTCTGTCCAAATTCTCAGGGTGTTTTCTGGAGGCTAACGACAAGTTCTGACCCTCTTTTTCCTAATCATTTCCTGCCATTGCTGTTCTTTCATTAAGTACTCACTTGCTTAGTGTATGCAGACAATGTACCCAATGGCACTCAGCCAGTCCTCGGGGATCCTGTTCTCACTGGAGACTTCTCAAAGGCAGATGTCATAACGATTTTGGAGACATTATGATAAGCTTATTGTGTAATGTTTATGGCGAATGTCAACAAGTGTGCATGTGTGTGGTGATGGGAGAGGAGGTCTTAGGTTACAGACTGGCTGGCCTATTTGCAGGATTAATTTAGAAATTACATTAGAATAAATAACTGAAAAATAATCTTACCGTTCTACAGGGTTTGGTAGTTTAGAAAATGTTTTCATAAACATTATTTTGTCCAATAATATATGCAGGCAAGTATTTATTATGAACCTTGAACCGGAGAATGCATATCTCACAATTCAGTACATGCAGGCCTGACTCCCCTTCTCTCCCATACGGTGCCTCTTCTTTGTGCCCCACATGTCCCGTGTTCTTGCCCCTTGCATTGGACGTAGCTTTTATATATATATATATATATATATATATATATATATATATATATATATATATATATTTTTTTTTTTTTTTTTTTTTTTTTTTTACAGAGAGGAAGGGAGAGAGATAGAGAGCTAGAAACGTCGATGAGAGAGAAACATCGACAAACTGCCTCTTGTACAACCCCTACTGGGGATGTGCCCGCAACCAATGTACATGCCCTTGACCGGAATCGAACCCAGGACCCTTCAGTCCGCAGACCACCGCTCTACCACTGAGCCAAACCGGCTTCGGCTGGATGTAGCTTTTCATTGGCAGGGCCTATTTGTAATGACTGTCTACCATAGTTCCTGAAAGGACAATAAATATTCGTTGAGTTTGAGGTCCATGAATAAGGACTTTGTTTTGGATGGGTTCAACATTCCCATGCTTTTTTGGGGAGGGTCTGGACTAGATGTATCATCAGCATTTTTATTCATTATATATTTTTGAACAGATTTCAGGCATATACATTGGCTTAATTCAACCAAAATACACCTCAGTTGGTGGGTCTCATCCATCCAGACGTGACTCTTCTTGGGAGCTGGTAACAGAAAATGTTCCCCACCCACCATATCCATGTCCTAATTCTAGACAACTGTGAATCTGTTACCTTACCTGGCAAAAGAGGTGCTGCAGATGTGATTAAATCAGAGGTTTTGAGGTGGGGAGATTTTCATGGATTATCTGGTAGGTCCAATTTAATCAAAAAGGTTTTAGAAATGAAAAAGGGAGGCAGAGGGTCAGAGTGAGAGATGATGTAAGAAGGAATGTAGAGGTCTAAGTGGTATAGCAACAAGCCAAGGAATGTGGGCAGTCTCTAGAAGCTGGAAAAGGCAGGAAATAGGTTCTCCCTTAGAATCTCCCAAAGGAAGGCAACTCTGCCTACACCTTTTTAGCCCAGTGAGACTTCTGACCTCCAGAACTCTAATATAATAAAAATAAAAAAACTGTGTTGTTTTAGGTCAGCACATTTGTGGTGATTTGTTACAGCAGCAATAGGAAACAAATAAAGGGTTCCAGATCTCCTCTATTCTCAGTTTAAATGGCCCTTGGTCACCCACTTTTTCTATTTAATATGTATCCTTCTGCCTCACTTTCCATCCCCTCAATCCATACCCACAGAAAAGAAACACGAAGAAAGTTAGTTGGGGGCTTTTTAAAAATCCAAGTACACAGTATGGCACTGACCCTTATGTTTAGAGCTGTGGTTCACCCCCCACCTCGAATATTATGTATTATTTAAATATACATTTGGCCATTTTCACATAGCCACTCCCACCAAATCCAATCTGAGTTCCTCCAAGTCCACCGGGTTGAGATTACTAATCCTGGACTCACAGTTTAGGAAACAATGGCTCAGAGGCCAAGGATTAGAAGCCAGGTCTCTAAGCTCCCAGGCCAAGCCTCTTTCCCTTAGAAGGCCCTGCCCTGGTGCCCAGCAGGGCACAGTCCTTGGAACTGCCCAGGCCCTGCAAGTAGGCACGCAGCGGAGACCCAAGCCGGGCGCAGGGGTCGGGACCGGCAGGGCGGGTGCTGGGGTGAGCCAGACGCGGTCCTGAGGGGACGAAACTTTGGAGGGTCAGAGCTCCACAGTCCTGCGCCCCGCCCCCACCGCGCTCCGGGCTCGGGTTACCTGCGGCCGGTGGGCGGGGCGGCCCTTCCCGTCTGTGCCGGCCCCAGCCTCCAGGGCGGCAGAGCCGGGAAGTGGGAGCCCGAGCTGAGGAGGCGGAGACTGGCGAGGCAGCCGCCCGCCGGGCTCCGGGGCGAGGGGCTGCATGGAGTTACCGGCGCTGCTCTGCGCGCTGTGGGCGCTGCTCCTGAGCGCTGGCGGCGGCGGGGACGCGGCGCCCACGGGTGAGTGTGGCCCCCGGACCCGGGACGGCGACCCAGGGCGGAGGGGGACGCGGCCGAGAGGCGGGCGAGGGCGCCGCGGGGCCGAGGGTCGCGAAGGGAACGGGTGCCGGGGTCCGTTCCTCGATGCCCAGCGATCGGCGAAGGCTGCCTCCGGCTTCGGCTTCGAGGCGGGGAGTCCTGGGGCGGCGGGGCTTTCCTGAATCCGGCGGCGACGCCGGAGCGGGAGGACGGAGACTCGCCGCCGCTCTGCCCTCGCTCCTTCGGGAAGAGCCGAGGAGCCGAAACCCGCCCGCGGCGTCAGTGGGCGGCGGTTCCGGACTCGGAATGTAGCCCAGGAGTCCCGAACGGGTCGAGGGGCCTGGAACCAGAGGAAATAGAGACCGAGATCCGGGCGAGGCCGGTCCGGGGTGGGAGTGAAGGGAACCTCTGAAGGTCCCAGTCCTCTTAGAAAAAGGATGTTCGGATCACGTCCTCCTCTGGCGTTCATGAAATTCGTTGGGAAACCCGGGGCAGCATCCAGGCGGACGCTTTTTTATTCTCTTTAATAACCTTTTATGTTTTGGAATAAGTTTTGATTTACAGAAAAGTTGCAAGGGAAGTATAGAGAGTTCGCCGATACCCCTCACCCTGTGTTGCAACTTTTATTTAACCTTCAGAATCATGGTGAAAAAGCTGGAGGCCAATGACTTCTTCAGGGACAGCTCCTGGCACCAGTGGCCTTCTGGATATTTTGGAAGATAACAGTAGCTCCAAATTTGATAGGTTTTATTACCACATTGACACAAACCCCACAATTAGCTTATTGTATTTTCACCTTCTTGTTGTGCTTTGAAACCCAAGTTGAAATGCTGATTAGGAAACCTTGAAGTCCTCAATCGATTCAGTCAACAATGAGCAAAACAGATCGAGTCCCCACCCCGTGGAGCTTATCTGCTATTGGAAGAGTCTGAGTGGGGAGGCATATAAGTTATGTCCGATGGTGCTAAGTACTACGTAGAAAAACAAAAGCGGGGTTTGCCATTGTAAAGAGGAGTGGGAAGACCTCATTGAAAAGGTGGCGTTTGAGTAGAGACCTGAGAGAGGTTTGAAATTTGTCAGTCAGTCATTATTCAAGTGCCTGCCTTGTTTAGTACTCAGCCAGGCTCTGTACATTCACTTAGAACCTGAGGGTGTACAGCATCATCCTTGCCCACAGTGCCTCTAGTTCATTTGGGGGAGATCTGATTTCCATAATTACTTGGGGTCCATTGAAGGGAAGGGACTTGTTTAAGGTCACCCATCGCATTAGTCTCCTGATGTTCACAGTGCTACTTCACCACTCTCCCTCCTACAGACTCCCTCCCACACACACCTGAAACAACAGCTGGCCTTCTAGACAATGCTAGCACCCCTCCCTCCCCAAACTTAATCAGTTTTGTCATAGGGGTTCATTGGCAACTTGATTACTTAGAATACAGAAAAATTCCCCCCAATAGAAATATTGATAGAATTGCATTACACTGTGGTGAAGAAAATAAGTCAGGGGACTTGACTTTTAGTGGTCTGACATTTCCCAGCTGTTGGACTCTGGACTAGTTGTTTTCCTTTCATTGTGCAGTGTTTTTCTATGAACTCCGTAAGTTCTAAAGGCTCTTTTTAGCTCTGATCTTGAGGGTTTAGAGAATGATTAGGTCACCAGCTTAGTTTATTCTGTTTAGAATGGTAGCCTACGTTGTGGCATGAATTAATAACACCAACTAGCATTTATCTAGTGTTTGCTCGATGCCAGGTAGTGTTTTAAGTTTTTTACCCATCCTATTTCATTTAATCTTTACTCAAAATTTATACTGCAGGTGCTGGTGTCAGTCTCATTTTGTATCTGCGGAAGCTGAGGCACAGTGAGGCTACCAGCCTTGCTTGAACAACAGCTGGTAGAGTGGAGAAGCCAGGCCTCCAACCCCCACAGCCTGATTTCAGAGGCTTTAACCACTGTATCAGTGCCTCTCTGTTTAGAGATGAGGGAGTCCTTGGCTGGGAGAGGAGCAGGGTGCCTCCCAGAGTAGCAGGGCAGGACTAATTGGGACCCATGAAAGTATTAGGTCTAGTAATAATTAATGTCGTTTTCTAATACTTTTTTAAATCGAATTTATTTAAACAATACAACAAAATTTAATCAACAATATAGTTGCCGTTGTTTTCTACTACTTGTGCCCAACACTCAGGAAACATTTTAATCCCTCTGTTGTAAAATTCTTGTGATTTTGATGCAAAAAATTCGGTCAATGCATTTTTGAGGCATTCTTCATTATTAAATTTTTTTCCAAGAAGAAAGTTTTGCAAAGAACGAAACAAATGGTAATCGGAAGGGGCAATATCAGGAGAATATGCAGATTGAGGGAGAACTTCCCATTCCAACTGGCGCAGTTTTTCAGCAGTGATTCTTGCAGTATGCGGTCATGCGTTATCGTGGTGAAGAATTACGCCCTTCCGATTAATCAGCGCGGGTTCTTTTTCTCTTAAAGCTTGGGCTAACCTTTCCAATTGGGCACTATACACTGCACTTGTAATGGTTTGGTTAGATGGTAAAAGTTCATAATGAAGAATTCCTTTAAAATTCCACCAAACACACAACATCACTTTTTTCGCATGCAAGTCAGGTTTTGGCGTGGGCTGCGGAGCCTCATTTTTGTCCAATCATTGAGGCCGCCTTTTCAAATTAACATACAGCACCCATTTTTCATCTCAGGTAACAATTTGCTCTAAAAATGGCAAACGGTTTTGACGAGAGAGGAGCGAACTGCAAATTGTGACTCTTTGATTACGGTTGTTGTCGGTCAACTCATGAGGAACCCATTTTCCAAACTTTTGGACTTTGCCAAGTGCACGCAATTGATTGGAAATTGTTTTTTGTGAACAATTTAAAGTTGTCGCAAGCTCTTGTTGGGTAATTTGAGGATTTTGCACCAAAAGAGCTTGAAGAGCTTCTTGATCAAAACTGGACACACGGCCTCGACCACTCTTGTCATCTAACGAAAAATTTCCCTCGTGAAATTTCTCAAACCAACGCTGGCATTTTCTGGCGCTAACTGCATCTTGACCAAGAGCACTACAGATGTTTTTTGCAGCCTCACTTGCTTTTCTTCCTAATTGGAACTCGTAAAGCATGCAGTGCCGAATATGCTCTTCATCCGCCATCTTCTTAGCCCTAGTTTTGCGACAAAAACCAAACCAAACACAAACTTTTTCAAGCAAAACTTGTTAATTGCACTTCACACGTTCTGTAGATACCACGTGTTTGAAGGTTATGTCAATACAAGTCAACGCCAAGCAAGATTTTAAACGAATGTTTGAAAACGACATCAATTATTACTAGACCCAATATGTACAGGCCACTTGTTACGGAGTGAATGTTCGTAGCTTGGAGATCCGATTTGTAATTGCCAGTTTGTGTAGTCCAAATAATAAGTACTGTAGGCACTCAGAAGAGGGGAAACTGTGAGGGCTGGTAGTTTCATGGAAGAGGTAAAACTTGAGCTAGACCTTCAGGATGGGTGGAATTTGAATAGGTGGAGAAATTCCATTGGGGGGGCAGGATGCATAGCAAGAGCAGATGCCCTGGTGTGAGAGGGTGAGAGTGTTCTTTTGTGCTCAGTGGAGGAGCCCTGCTTGGCAGGAGGGTGCTTCGGCAAAGTCAGTCCAAACAGAAGTGTTTTATTTGCCCCTGAAGGCCCTGAGTGGGGAGCAAAGTGGGAGAATTACACTGGAGGAGAAGCAAGCAGGGAGACTTCACTGGATGAGGGAGATTGCTAGAGTGTGAAGTTATGCAGGAATCTAGGGTCGTAGGTGACCAGTAGAAAGTTGTGTTGTGAACACCTTATTCCAGGACCGTGGACCCAGCAGAGCAAACTAGTGTGATTGAAATCACACACAGAGAGATGTTGGTGCAAGAAAAAATGGAGACTTAGTTGATGAGTGAGTAGATGTAAGGGAAGGAGATAAATGACTCATATGTGATTCTTGTGATTTTTCTTAACTTTTCCTAAAATATGCATGCAAAACTATTAGCTAAGCAACATAAAGATCATCGATCCCTTTAATTCCTGATTAGAATAGGATATTGTGCTAGATTACCAGACAGATTCACTTGTGGTTTGAAATTTAGTTGGGGGAGCTACTTAAGTCTCTGTCTCCTCTCCCTCATGCTTTGCTTTCTGAAGAGATCCGTCTCTAAGAATTGGATGCATTAGATGCCCAAGGAAAGCTTATTAGGCAGAAGAGAGAGGTTGTGTCTCAAAGACCATAGGCACATATCACCTCCAGAGAAAACCAAAACAATTATTTAGAACTTTTCTTTTAAAAAATATATTTTATTGAATTTTTTACAGAGAGTAAGAGAGAGGGATAGTTAGAAACATCAATCAGCTGCCTTTTGCACACCCCTTACTGGGGATGTGCCCGCAACCAAGGTACATACCCTTGACCGGAATCGAACCTGGGACCTTTCTGTCCTCAGGCCGACGCTCTATCCACTGAGCCAAACCAGTTTCGGCAGAACTTTTTTTTTTTTTTTTTGTCTCCTCAGAGAGAAAGAAAGCAACTAACTAACATTTACTTAGCACTTGCTTTGTGCCAGGCACTGTTAGGACATTTTATCTGTGTGAAGTTATTTAAACTTTATAATAATAATTAGGTTATGATCATCCTCATGTTATATATGAGAAAACTGAGGCATAGAGAGGTAAGTGACTTAGCAGTTAGTAAGTAGCAGAACAGGCATATGAACTCAGACAGTCTGGCTCCAGAGCCCATGTTCTTAGTCACTCCACTACACTGAAATTCTATGTCCTATTACCTGTGAGCTGTTTTTAGAGACCTTTACAAGAAGTATGATATGCACTTATTTATGTAGATGTCTGGATGTATTATACACACATACTCATGAATTAATATATATCCAAACATTTGGAGATTATATTTAAAGTTTCAGTGTGTGTGTTTGTGTGTGTGTGTGTGTGTATTTG